GTGTGTTATTACACGAAATACCGGCCCTTATTTCGTGTGTTTGTCCACGAAATGACAGTGAAATAGCACGGTTCATTTTTTTTTAAAGATTTATTTTATTTATTATTATTATTTAGACTGATGTTAATAGTGTTTTATTCCACATCCCGATGTTGGGTCTTCTCGTGCTATGGAGGAGGAGGAAGATGTGGACCCCGTTCACGAGACTGAGGTTGTAGCTCGTGGAGGTCGTAGAGATCGTGGAGGCCGAGGACGGGGCCGTGGAGGTCGACCTCATACTCGAGTCAATCCGGATGTGCTAGATGGTCCATTTCCCGGTGGCCCGCGGGATCCGTCTTTGATACCGAGTTTCAAGTCGCACGTAGCGGCATATATTTGGAGGGGAGAAGTAAGTTAATTACTTGTTTTAATTTTAATATTATAATTTTTGTATCTTCTATTAAAATATTTTTATAGTTGATTAATTAATATGTTTTCTAAATAAATGATTGCAGGAACGTCCGGTTGGACGAGTGGAGTCCCGTATCAACTCCCTGAACCAATTCAACTACGAGAAGATAGCAGATGCCCTAGAAGACGTAGATGTATCCGTAGACAAGCATTTTCTGCGGATGACCGGTTTGTATCCCCTAGCCCGATGTTATTTACAGGGCCTAGATACTCCGTTGTTGTTTGCATTCGTGGAGCGGTGGCAGCCGGAGACGAACAACTTCCATATGCCATGGGGAGAGATGACTATCACTCTCCACGATGTCCAGATGATTCTAGGTGCCAATGTGGAGGGACGAGTGGTCGCGCCTAGGTACGACGATGCCATCGAGCGGACAAACTGCGTGTATTTGCTGTCCGAGGCCTTAAACCTCGAGTTTGAGGAGATTGACGAGTCGTGAAAGCATGGGGGCCCCACATGGAGGATGTTACAGGGACAGTTGTTGATGCCCGACACGCCCATGAGACGCCGAGTTCAGATATACCTGGTGTTTCTCCTCGGATCGATTTTATTCCCCGACAAGACATGTGATCGGGTGAAACCGTGGTATATGCACGTGCTCGAGGATTCAGTGCTTGATCAGGTCGGCACGTATTCGTGGGGTTCGGCCTGTTTGGCCAATCTATACAGAGAGTTGGGTATATGCAGCCGAGCACAGTCGAGGGGCTTGGCGGGTTGCACCACCCTTCTTCAGGTAAATTTTAATATATTTGGAACTTATTTTGTTCATTTTAATATATTTTAATAAATTTTAATATCTTTAAATAAAATATTGCAGTGCTGGATATACGAGTATTTCCCGAGATTCCAGCCGCCGGAGGAGAGCGAGCGCTACCGCGAGTTTCAGCCTCGATGCAAGAGGTGGAACGCGCCGCCAAAAGCAGGCACGCTCGAGCATATTCGAGGTTTACTCGACAATATGACAGCGGATGATGTAAGTCTTTTATATTTATGTATTTATATTTTTTGAAATATGAATTTTTCGATATGAATTTTAAATATGAATTTTTTGATTTAAATATGTCTTGTAGTTTGTTTAAATATGAATTTTTTGATTTATGTATTTATATTGTTTTCTGTTTAGGTCGAGTGGCTACCGTATGGTCGGGATATACACGAGAGTATCCCTCGTACGTTGTATCATGGCACGATCCAGTACATGTGGGTCGTAGAGCCGTATATGCCTGATCGTTGCGTCCGACAGTTCGGGTGGGTTCAGGATATACCGCGCGGCTTGATTCCGTCGATGGAGCCATGTTCACGCGGTCCCAAAGGAGGTACATCGTACAAAGTCAACTACCCATTTCCGGGTGGGATGTGGGACATGGTCCAGGCTCATTCCATTCGTGCCCGCGCATACAAGACGGCACGACAACGGGGGGAAGTCGACGAGCACTACATGGAGTGGTACATCGATCGGACTCATCCGAAGATCAACAACCCCGACGTAGGCCCGACTCCAGTGCATCGAGAGAATGTGAGGCCACCAGATCAGCCGGCTTATTACCAGGTAGTACGTGCCCTGTACCCGATCACCAGGAGCACTGGACATGACTGGATGCAGCAGTTTGCCGATCTACGTGCCGATCTTGGAGATATTATGCAGCCCGCCGCCCGATATCTTGGCATCGACCGTGACAACGACAACGTCGACGACGATGACGACGACGATCATGAGGTGCAGCCGCCGAGGAGAGCGAGGCGGTAGTTTATCGGTTTTTTTTGCCAGTTATATATTTTTATGAACTATTTAATTTTAAAGTTTATTTTTATTATTATTAGGACTATGCATTTTTATTATTGTTAGGAACTATTTAATTTAATAATTTATTTTTATTTTTAATTAGGAACTAATTATTTTACTAATTTTGTTTATTATTATTACGAACTATTTAATTTACTAGTTTGTTGTTTTGTATTTTAATTCACTAGTTTTATTATTTGAATTTAGAAACTACGTACAACTGAAGCAATTAAAGTACATATTTAAACAACCTTACAAACAATCTTACAAATTTAATACATTCCAAAAACATAGGTTAAACATATAAAATGCAAAACACAACGCTACAAATTTAAATATTCCAAAACATAAGTTTCAATGCAAAATTAAAACAAATATAAATTTAAACATAAGTTAAACTTTCAAATATCCGGCAGATGGTTATGATTACCATTACTCACACTCAATCGCCATAATCCATCCTCCGTTGATTTTTTGCCAATTAACCTGAACGGACAAGAACGTTTCTTTAATAGTACGTGTCGTCGAGATTGATATTTTGCACACGTTAAAACATGATGTTTTTCTGATTTACAATGATTAATCAGTCGATGATTATGACTAATTGCTGTGTCTTTTGCCCACATGATTAACGCTTCTCTACTATCACACACAATACCACGTTCAAAGAAGTGACTATGATCGTGAGATTGTTCTCTTACTTCCTGCATAAATATTTAAAATTAAAAGACAATATTTAAGGGATTTCGTAGAAAAACATACGAAATGTAACCTACATTTCGTGTAAACACACACGAAATAATAGCTTCCATTTCGTAGGTTTTACCACGAAATGTAAGCTTCCATTTCGTGTGATTGTCTACGAAACAAACAACTAACGATTTTAAGACATATTTCGTATAGTATTACACGAAATGAAAGCATATATTTCGTGTGTTATAACACGAAATCCCTAAAAACGTTGGAAATGAACAAAAAAACGTGTATTTTCACCTCAAAATCGAAGTCGTTGTCATCCATGCCGATAATACTTCTGCTCTAATTGATATTGGTCGAAAAATTACTAAAATTGAAAATTTCCAAGAATAAAAGGTTGAGTGTTTGAGAGAAGATTTGGATAAGATTTGAAAAAGAAAAAAAAATGAATTATTTTGCACTGCGAGTAGTAAAAACCGCACTGATAATAGCAAGCCCCACTGACTTATAAAGAAAAAAAAAAGAAAAAACTTAACAAGGCCAGTACACTGTAATTTATTTTACCTGTGGGTTTCAGACTAACAAACTATAAAATAATAAAACCCACAGAAAAATAACAATAAAAAAAACAATAAAATAGTGGAATATAACACCACCTTGTCACCATATTCATACATGTTGAACAATAGTAGGATTATAATAAGCCCAGGTTCTTGTCCTAACCATACAAAGACAAATGACTTCTGAAAACGTAATAATAATAATAATAATAATAATAATAATAATAATAATAATAATAATAATAATAATAATAGAAAAATAAATAAAATTGGTAGTCCGTGTGACGATTGCACTATTATAAACATAAATAATAAATAATATAATAATAAGGGTAATTGCGGAAATATCAAATTACGAGAAAACATCTCATGTTTTTTGGGGATTATAACCACTCTTCAACTATAAATTTTCTTACATGTCTACCTTTGCAGTGTTAAATTTAATGGAATATTCAAGATTATGTGGAATATTCTCGGGTTTGTATCCGTTTTACCACATTCGAGCTCCACATTTTTGAAACAAGATGATCATTAAATGTGTTTCTTGACTTGTTAATATCAGATTGTGGTACATCAGAAACTGAATGTTTGCACAAAACGGGTACAAACTGGAGAACATTCTACAAAATCTAGAAGATTCTATCGATTTTCATAATAATCAACATGTAAGGAGATTCACCATCGAAGCGTACTGGTTGTCGTTTTTTCCGTAATTACCTCAGGGGTGACCGTAATTTACCCTTAGTAATAATAATGAAAAAAAAAAAAAAAAAGAAATTGAAGATCTTCCTTGAGTTGAAAGACTTGTAGTGGGTTGCTAATAGCCATATATATAATATAATATACAGTCAAATGTCACTACCATCCTCAAATTAATGCTACTTGTAATAATAGATACATACAAAAATGAAAAAACAAAGAAATGATACTCTCTTTTTTTTTTTCTTCTTCTAATGGCATTTTCTTCTTTCCACTATCCCTCAATGCTGTTGATAGGACAAAGTTAGTTCCTAAAACCCTCTTCTCTCACAAGGAAAATTTTTGAGGGGTACCCCCTAACCACCACCCCCACCCCCAAATTTTCTGCTGCTGTGTTGCTTCAAAGATGGACATTGTTTCTTGAAATCCGTATTTATTCATGGACAAGTAACCATTTCTAGTTGAAGCTCAACTTGATAAGGTTTGTTCTGTTAAATCTTATCACGCCCACCACCTGTTTGATGAATGACCTGACTTAACTTTTTTTTTTTTTTTTTTTTTTTGTTTCTGCAGTTTTCTGAGGTTTGATGTAAAGATTCCATTTTTATGATAGCAGTAGATAGTTTCTGTTGTGTGATTTAGTTATGGCAAGAAGAGCACCGAGAATTCTTGAGCTGAGGGAGAAGAATGAAGTGAATTGCACTTGGGGTTTGTTCAGTGCTTTCGAATCCTGCCATGGCCGTTCGACTCGTAAGCTGATCTCTAACGGAAGGCCCGCGAACAAGCACATTATCGGTAACGTTATAAATCCTGAATTCATAATCGAGAATCATCGAATTACGTGTAGGAAATTACGACTAAGTGTTTTAATTATAAGACAAACCACATATGATCAGGTTTATGATGGTTGTTTTTCTTGATTGTTAATGATGGTTGGTTTTAGGTTTGATTTTTTTGGTAGGTGATGTTATTAATATGTACCAAGACTGGGAATTGGTAGGTTTTACGCCATAAATGTCGAAAATCTTCTTGTGTGGCCCCTTGAATATATTATTAACTAGTTGTTGCTCCTACAATTATTGCACACTCACCGTGTTGGCCTTTGTACCGTGTTGATTAATGTTTTGCAGTGAAAGCCGTAGGTTGTAATTTTATTTATTTTAATTTAATATGTTACAGATTGTCCGAGAAAGCTTCACCAAATTGCCAGCTTTGATCAAGAATGCCGAAGAATTCAAGTAGGCCGTAATTATATATAGCTATTTTCTGTCACCGTAATCCAATTTTGTTGGATAAATTTGTGTTTAATTCTCTATACATTTCGACGGTTTTCAAGAAACACCAAATTAGTTTACGTTATCCTAATCTGCTGACATTTTTTTCAAATCTTGCATTCTTGAAAAAAGCTTAATCCGTATTTGTAAGAGTTTTTTCCTCGGAAAGATGGAACTATAACTAACCTATAATTTTATTTTGCTGCAGAATGAAACTGAACAAAATATAGTGAAGGGACAACAAAAACAAGAAGAAGAAGAACATGCGAAAATGGACTCGGAACTTCTTGACCGTCTCTTGAAAGCTCAAAAGAGAGCAAGGAGGAAGAAAAGGGCTATCTTGAACGGCGACTCGCCTTCGACTTCAACCGAAATTTCTTTAAACAAACTCACACTCGCAGCAATTTTGGAACAGAATCTACAACGGAAGAACAATTATCAGTATAAATATTCCCACCCGAAAGCAAGTCCGATAAACCCGCCTTCCGATAAAATAATAATATTAAAGCCGGCCTCGCAAAACTCGAAGCGTTCCGTGAATGTATCTTGCCATTGCTCTTCGCTGCAATCCTCCCACAAAAATTTAGATCGAACAACATCGGATGGGAAATCTACTTCCTTTTCTTTCAGACAAGTGAAGCAAAAACTGAAACATACTTTTGGAGTTAATAATAAACTATCGCATGACAAAGACGCAAGCCAGTGTAAGAAGCAAGACCCGAAAAAATCGAATAGGGGTTCGGATATTAGTGGTGTGACTGAAACGGTGAGGAAGAAATTAGACTACTCGAGCGTTGGATATTCGAATAAGGAGGAACTTGAATTTGAATTTGATGTGATTTTGGAGGCGAAGAGACACCTTTCTGCACGATTGAAAAATGTGAACGGATTTGAGAGTGCGACGAGAAAGAAGTCAACCAAAACTCTCGGCCGGATTCTCTCCTCACCCGAGCATAGTCTAATTAGTAGTCCCTTAAGACCAAACACAGAGGTTTCATCATGTGATTATTACAACACATATGAAAATACGTTGCAAGTAATAAATACAGAGACGATTTCTCTGATCCGAAGCACTGATGTTGAATCGCACAAGATTGATACTTCTGTGATAGATGGTAAGAATTTATGCCATTTTTTTAGCTTAATTTTTGCATTGTATATAATCTGATTTTTTTTTTTTTACATGTTTGGTAATGTTTTTACAGGCGAACGAAAAATTGTGTTGCAGCCCGAGTTAGATATTTCAGAAGTGGCGAGTGAACTAAACGGCACCGATGTTGTAACCATAGATACAGTTGAATTGCAAAAGGACGATGAAACGATAATGCAATCCATATCGGTGAGTGTTTCAAATGTAAACAAAAGAATAAAAAAACCCGTCTTTTTTTCCTTCACTAACTTGTTTTTTTGCTTTAAAGGATTCACACTCGGAAAACGAGGCATCTACATCTACAGCCGACAGTACTAAGCTTCTAGAAGAACATCGAAGCCCAGTTTCTGTCCTCGAGCCGTTTTTCACGGAAGATTCCAACAGCCCACCAAACATCACACTTCAAACTGGTAAGAATATTGAATTAAATTATAAGATAATAATTATCTCCTCTTTGATATTAAATGGGTTTTTACTAATTATCGTTTTTCAGCTCGAAAAAAATTGCAGCCACTTCGTCTCGACTTTGAAGAATGTTCATTCGAATCATCCTTTGAAAAATCGTACATAGAAGAAGACCAAGAATATATATCGGAATACGTGCACTCGGTTTTGGAAGCTTCTTGTTTAAACTGGGAGCATCTATCGGAAATCGAATCTCCGCCCGAAGAGCTTCTAGAACCTTCCCTATTCGAAGAAGTGGAGTTTCTTCACAGTGACTGTTACTTCGACCCCAAGATTCTCTTTGATCACATGAATGAAGTTCTATTACATATTTATCGATGCCATTTTTGCCCTTCACCATGGCTAGCTTTTGTAAAACCGAGAACGAGAAGTGAGCCACTTGCAGAAACTGTGCTTGATGAGGTTATGGCAGAGGCCGAGTTTTACTTGCTTCCTCGGACAGAGAAAAGAACCTTGGACCAGCTTGTCTCGAAGGATGTGGCGGATTGTAGATCTTGGCTCGATGTTCGGTTCGATAAGGAACAAATTGTGAGTGAGATTTCGGAAGATTTGCTCGAGGAATCCATACTGGATATTCTTGTTGAGTTTCATGTATGATGGTTAATGAAGCACTTGTTCATAATATTAATTAATAAACGTTTCAACTTTTTTCCTTCTTCCTTTTAGTTCCTGCAAAATTTTGAAAAAAGGTAGAAAGATACAGTGAAAGTTTTCCATTAGATCCGAATTTGGAACAAGATATTATAATATTATAAACTAATGCAATTTTCGAAATTTATGAGATATTCTGCCGATTCCGAGTCATTTCAAAATCGGAATGAATTTTTGCATTCCGATGTTTTTGGATCAACCCATTTTTCACTTCCGAAAAAAAGTGATTTTTTTTTAATTAGAAAAGCCATTTCCAATCAATTTCATCCGATTTCCGCCCCGAGTTACTATTGCACACACTCAGACACTAGTCATATTCATATTTTCAAATTAATATTTTTTTAGAATATATATATATATCTACCTATAACTTTCCAAAGTATATTTAAAAAAAAGTTGTTGATAAATGCAGGATGAGTTTTAGTAAATGTAGGACATTTTATTTTAAAAATTCAAAATCTAATATATATATATAGTATATACCATCTTATTTTTTGTTAAATGCGTTTTTTAGAAGTTTTCAACATATTATTTTGGGAATATATCACACGAATATTTTTAGTAAACATAGACACTTTATTTAAATATTTATCATCTTATTTTTTCTAAACTCTCTTTTTCATCGATATTATTTTGGAAGAATACCATACCATTAATCACCAATAACATGGATTTATCGGTTTTGGAGAATGATACGGTTGAAAATGAGGTAAAAATTTAGTTATACTCAATATCAATATCGAATATTAAAGACTAATAAATTTAGAGTTTTCTTCGTATGTGTTTGAAACTCGAAATCGTAGAAAATAAAAGTTAAAATTAAAAAATAAATAAAAATAAAATCATAAATTTACTAAAAATTTGTATTCATGATTTCCTTAAAAAAAAACGATCCATTTAATCAATTAATTAATTAATTTATTTTATATAGTAGATATAGTAGATTCTCCACGGCCATTCCCGCCACATATAAAAACCTCTCACAAAACCCTAGCCCCCTTCTCACACTAAACCCTCTCTCTCTCTCTCTACCATTTGCGTTTTCCGCCATAGCTCCTCTGCAACAAGAAATGGATGCGCAGGACGTGAAATCGAACGTGGTTCTCATCCTAGACTTCGGTTCTCAGTACACACATCTCATCACCCGAAGAATCCGCGCCCTAAACGTCTTCTCCCTCTGCGTCAACGGCACCTCCTCCCTCAAATCAATCACCGATCTCAACCCCCGCGTCATCATCCTCTCCGGCGGCCCCCACAGCGTCCACGCTCCCGACGCGCCGTGCTTCCCGCCCGGTTTCATCGAGTACGTGGAGGCGAACAAGGTCCACGTTTTGGGCATCTGCTATGGGCTGCAGCTTCTCGTGCAGCAGCTCGGCGGCGAAGTTAGGGTTGGGGAGAAGCAGGAGTACGGTAGGATGGAGATTGCCGTTGAGAAGTCCGCCGGATTGTTTGGTTATAAGAACGTCGGCGACTGGCAGACCGTCTGGATGAGCCACGGCGACGAGGCGGTGAAGTTGCCGGAGGGGTTTGAAATTGTGGCGAGGAGTAAGCAGGGAATCGTGGCTGCGGTGGAGAATCCAACCAAGAGGCTTTATGGATTGCAGTACCACCCCGAGGTTGTTGTTTTTTTCGTTTTTCTATTTAAATTAAATTTCTTGTGCTCTGTTTTTCAAATCCTATTGAGAATTGATTTGTACATAGTCTGGCATTTAGAAAATTTGGTGGTTTTGTTTAATTTAATTTTCTATTTTGATGTTAGATGTATGTAGTATGGTGAAGCACTAGTCCGATTTTCGTTTTGAACTCGATTGAATTTCGGTGCCACCTAGTTCCTTTTGTTATCAAACTCAACTGAAATCTCACCTTAAGCATAACGAAAATTTGCTCTTTGGCTCGAAGATATATTTGTTTTGATGATTGTACGAATCTTTTGCAGGTAACACATTCACCGGAAGGAATGGAAACACTAAAATATTTCCTCTTTGACATATGTGGAATTACCGCTGGGTGGAAAATGCAAGATGTTCTAGACGAAGAATTGAAAGTTATTACAAACACAGTCGGACCAACAGACCACGTCATATGTGCGTTGTCTGGTGGCGTTGACTCCACAGTTGCAGCTACCCTTGTCCACAAGGCAATTGGAGATAGGCTTCATTGCGTCTTTGTCGACAATGGATTATTAAGGTCTGCATAGTTTTATATCATGGTTATCCGTTTTGCAGTTCTTGATTTTTCTCATTCTTGATTTTTTGAATATTTTTTTTGACAGGTGGCAGGAGAGGGAGAGAGTGATGCAGACGTTCGAGAGCGATCTTCATTTACCAGTTACTTGTGTCGATGCTGTGGATCAATTCTTGAGCAAGCTAAAGGGTGTTACCGAACCTGAAAAGAAACGAAAAATAATCGGAAACGAATTCATCAATATTTTCGATGCATTCGCTCACGATTTAGAGCAGAAATTGGGAACAAAGCCTGCTTATTTAGTTCAAGGAACATTGTACCCCGATGTGATTGAATCATGCCCGCCACCTGGCAGTGGAAGGACACACTCCCACACGATTAAAAGTCATCATAATGTGGGAGGGCTCCCAAAGGACATGAAATTGAAGCTTATCGAACCACTTAAACTTCTGTTTAAAGACGAGGTATTGAGTTTCAAGAAACTTTATTTTATTACTTTGGTAAATAATATTATTTTATTTTTTTTTTCCTATAATTTTTAATTTCTGTAAAGGTTCGTGAACTGGGAAAAATCATGGGAGTTCCACCGGCTTTCTTGAAACGCCACCCTTTTCCTGGGCCTGGCCTTGCTGTACGTGTACCTGGTGATGTCACTTTAGAAAATCGCTTGGATATTCTACGAAGGGTATGTAATATTTTTTTCTTCTTGTGCACATGACATATGGGAATGGAAATCGATGTTTCAACATTTTCAATATTTTTCGATATCAGGCGGATGAGATTTTCATTCAAGCTATCAAAGATGCTGGAATATACGACGCCATATGGCAAGCTTTTGCTGTGTTTATGCCAGTACTAACCGTTGGAGTTCAAGGCGATCAAAGAACACACAGTTACGCCATTACGCTTAGAGCTGTCACGAGCCAAGATGGAATGACTGCAGATTGGTATATATATACATATTTAAATTGCTAATTTTTTTGTGCTTTCAAGTCCAATTATTATTGACATACGATAACTTTTTTTTTGCAATCTGGTCCAGGTATTACTTTGATCACAAGTTTCTTGCTGATCTGTCAACGAAGATTTGCAATGAAGTCCCTGGTGTAAACCGAGTTCTTCTTGACATCACTTCAAAACCTCCGTCCACAATTGAATGGGAGTAAGTTTAGGTCTAAATCTCGACGAGTTACGATTAGGCCCTTATGAATATATAGGTTGCATTCCCTATTTTTTTCTTATGATAGTGAGTTTTAAGATTTTTCATCAAGTCTTGAAATGAGTATTTATGTACTCTCAAGGATTTAAGTACTTTGATCTCACAAGTTAGTTTATTATTTGTTCAATTGTAATGTTATTTGAATCAGATTATTTTTTATGATGAGATTTTGATTGAGCAATGTGCATGGGTTTGATAAGGCTCTTATTATATTTTTGCAACGGGCTCCGTTGAGTGCAATCGAAATATTTCGTGCAAACTATTAAATTGAAAAAAAATCAATTTTAGAATAACATTTTCTTGATTTCCGAGTTTTGAAATTTTTTATTTTTCAAAATTTTGGAACCGGAATCGGAACATATATGTGAGATTTTGATTTTGATTTTCGTTTCGATATATCAACAAAATGGCTTATCCTAAAAATAGAGGGAATTAATTCCCTGCAGTTAGATGTTTTATGTTACTCAAATAAATACATATATATATCTATATATTACATTAAAAGAGAACACACAAAATCTTCAATATTTTCGTATAATTTTCTGAAGAGCTTGTGTGATCACCCCTGCTGATGCACCTTTCAATCCTTTGCACTGCAAAAATAAAATAAAAAATAAGTAAATAAATAGAAAATTATAATTTTTTATTTTATTTTTTAATTAAAATCACATTGTGCATAAATGAGAGCAAACCTTGGCTTTTATAGTGACAGAAAGAATTCCGTCACCATTCGAAGACTGCACGTTTTGCGTATCCATACGCAGTTTCCGTATAGCTTCCATCACTTGTAGCAACACTCCTTCCTTCTCGCAACACCTCAACTCGATCGAAACATCCTTATCCGAAACGGTGACACTTATATTATCGGGTCCCACTTTCTCGATTTCACAAGCCTTCCTCTTATTGGCCAATGGCTTCTTCGTAATATTGCCGGTTTTATGGGGGCCGTAATTGTCCGAAGTCCTTTCCACTCTATCGTGAGGTTTGCTCTGCATTGTCGACTCTAGCTCTTCGACTTTTCTCTCGAGCTCTCTCAAGTACTCTATTGTATTATCGAGTACCGATATTTTGTCGACCTGGAAAAAAAAACAGAGCCTATAACTTTTAGTTCATGAGATAAAAGACGAATTTGAGGACAAACTGCTTTTTTTTTTTCTTTTTTTTTTTTTTACCTTGCCACCTGACGGGACTAGTGATCCAAGAATCGTGAACCTCTCGTTAATTTTTTCCCTTCGTTTTCTTTCAGACAAGACATGGTTCCTATCGTTTTCATCTGTTTCTTGTCTAGAATTGCCGTTTTCGTTTTTACGATCATTCCCATGCATTTTACCGACTTCGAATAGTACCTTTTTTAGCAACTTCTGTTGAATACTCCCACTCTGATTAATTACGTTCGAACCCACTAACCCATTTTTCCTCCAACAAACAAAGCTCGATTCCCTACACCCGTTTTTTAAATACGGACCGAAAATCAAGTGATGGGAAGTCTTCAAAAAATTCGAAAGCACACTCTCGTAATGAACATCATCATTCCCTTGCAAAGATTCTTGATTCTTGACAACCGTAACATGATCTTCGTGAGTTTGAGATATACAGTCGCTCGAGTTTGTTGAGTTATTGTTGTTCGGATAATTGCTGATGTCATCGTCCCCTTCTAATAAATTCGACTCCTCCTCCCTTAGTAGATTATCTGCAAAATCGTCCGAAAAGTTCTCGGGGGTACAAATGTCCATGTTCGGACAATCCAAAAGCTGATTGAGATTGTCTGCGAATTCGAGTTCATCGTTGTTTGTGGTGATATTGTTGGGGAGGTAATTAGGAACGTTTGAGAAACTTCCGGAAGGACTGTCGAGGAACGAGGATTTTATATGCTGGATCAGATTCGGATCTTCTTGAACCTTTTAATACAAGAAACATATTAATTTTTTATTTGAAAAATGATCGGGTAAAATTGGTTCGATGAAAAAAACAAACTCGAATCATAGTGGCATTACTAGTTCAGTTGCCCCGAGCTCGAATACGCCTCCTAAATGTGGAAAGCACACTATGGTCTGCAGTTGAGAAATTTAAATTCTTGTAAGGAAAAAAAAATGTTATTTTCAAGAAAACAACATGTGTTCAAATATGTCTTGTTTCGGGGAAACGCCTGGCCTCTATTG